TATAATTGTTATTGCGTTCCATAAATTTTCTCTGAGCAAACCAAAGTTTCCGGAGATTCCGGTTTCTGCAATTTCTTGAAATTTATTGAACTGCCCTTTAATTCTCTGATCTGTCTTGATGTTCTCGGAGCTTTCCTAAAACTATCAACTTTCGGTTCTGCTTTAAAATAAATGGAATTCTTGTTAATACCTTCAAACTTCCCTGGAATTCTCTGGATTTCTGTGAATTTCCTTAAATATTTCTGAAGTTTTTATAAATTTTCTGAAGGTTTCTGTACTGAATCTATCTGATCATCTGATGAGTTCTCGATTTTATTTCTGCACATAGTGGAACTATCCTGAATGTGTCTAAACTCACGCTTATAGATTTTTAAACCAATTCAATAGTCTGGGGTAAAGTTTTGGGGACTTCCCCTTAAGATCTCTGGAATTCCCCAAAGATCTCTAGATCTAGCTTTTTCTGAGATCAATAGAACTTCACATTTTTGTTAGTACGAAACTTCAGGTCATTAAAAAAATTGTTATCTTAGACTAACTAAAATGAAGTACGTGTTCAACTTCAACGTTTCATGGATTTGATAGTAAAGCTGTTTCTTTAAAACTGATTGTCATAGCATAGCATATGCGATTGCACAAATCGTAGGTGGATATATAATGATCAGCTCATATATTCCGCAAAAACATAATATGTTGTCGCAAAAAGAATACTTGGGATTAATATCCTTTTCCCATACCATGCAATCTGCAAAACAAACCTCGCATTGTATACCTGGCTACGTCCTTACAATCGCAGGGGAAAGGTAGGAATGTTAGTTCAACATCTACTTAAGAAGGTGCAGGGAACCCATACTACCTTCATAGACGTTACAGGAAATGGAAATCTTGTTAGTAGGGGAAGGGGGATATAAGGATGCTCTATTCCACAATATAAAGCAGTATAAACATGAGATAAATAATTTATATAAATACAATCAATTATATGCTTACCTTTTTAATATATTGAAGTCATTTCCTTTCATACACCCGTTCATTCTTTTTCTTCAACTGAGTTTAAAATGACTGAATCGATGGGTTCAGAGCAAACGTAACTTTTAAATAAAAATGGTGCGAATCTATCAAGTATTACCATCATTATTGAAATAAACTTTATTAATAAGACAATAAAGAGATAGAGTATTATATTGTATGCCTTAATCATCTAACTTTACTGCTCATCTGAATCAACTGACTCATCAATATCATATATCTCCTCGATTTTGTTTGTCACTTTCTCTCTGTCTCTGGCCAGATCCTCCCATTCTTCCACGCTTAGATCCCCAAATCTTTCAACATTTTGTCGAATTATATCAAACCAAGTGAATGGTCGTCCTATCTTTCTATAATGCTTTTTATATTTAGCAGCTAGTTTCAGCAGATGATTATCCTCCATTCTGATAATATGGCTCCAAAATCTCATTTGAAGGGCTCGAATTTTTTTGGTCACGGTTTTCCCTCGTAGAATATGATTCCCATTTGGCCTTTCTCCGTCCATAGTACAACAGCTCGCCAGTTCCGCTACTATTTGTCTCTCGTATTTTCGCATAGACGTACGAGTGTGTTTGGTGATGACTGAAACTTGGGTTCCAAACGTCATTGTAGGAGAAATGATGGTGTCATACAGTAAGTTTCCAATCTCCACACTTGGCCTGTTCTCTTTCGCGAATGCAATAACAGCCTTAGAGGATTTAATGGCTTTCTTACAGCGTGCTTTAATAGATTTGAGGCGGTGTAATCTATCAGTTATGGTCACTCCTAGGTAGCTGAGTTCCTTTGCAACCATGTAAGTACAACCATCAACAACTAACGATGTTGGTGCTTCTCCTCTAGGTGCCCTAACAACTATTTTGGTTTTTATGGGATTTAAGAACAGGTTTACCTCCTCAAGATGTTTCTTCAGCACCGGAATGATTATGTTCAGCTGTTCTTTACTACATCCAATAATCAAAATGTCGTCTGCGTACACTAAAATGATGGGGTATCGAATATTGTGTACCTGATCCAACACGAAGAAACCATGTAAATCTGCTTCCGTCTTTCTGAGGACCTCTTCCATGATTAAATCAAACAAATACGGTGACAATGGACATCCTTGATTTATGCCCATTCTACGATTCTCCTGTGCAGATTTTTATCCATCCCAAAGCGTTTGGTATGTTTCCTCCCGGACGCATTCAACAATTCTGGCTATTAACCCTTTTGGAGCTCCTTTCTGTTGCAAGATCCTTGGGAGATCTTTTAAGGAAATTTTGTCGAACGCTTTGCTGATGTCGAGACATCAGCACCAAATCATCTCCCGCATTCCACTTTTCTTCTAACACTCGTTTTACAACAAAAAGATGATCCATTGTTGATCGCCCGTGTATGAATGCTGCCTGATGATGGCCGATTGGGTCTGTGCATCGAATTAGTTCTTTTAGTATCCAGGAAGCATACAAATTCTGCGGTAGTCATTTTCATTCTTAGGATATGCAGATTTTGGTATTGGAACTAATAATGAATGCCTCCAATGAGCTGGCAGCTCATTCTCATCCCATACCCGTTGGAGAACTTCTTTGAACTCGGTGATTGTATTTGAGTTTGCATATTTAATCAGCTCTGCGTTAACGTTATCCAATCCTGGTGCTTTGCCATTTTTGCTTTCCCTAATTATGATATCCAAGTCTTCAATATCAGGTACGTTACAGGAATCTGAATCCATCACATTGATTTTTTCCGGCAACAACAAATCACCGTCTTCTCCAATTTTCCACTTCCGCATAGATATGTTTGGTTTCCGTATCCTATTATGTTTTTTTCTATGTTTTTTCATGTAATGATGAGCTCTGCTAATTCATTCACCAAGCTTAAAACTATTCAGATTTTCAAAAAATAGCCTTTGATCATTTTCTTCTTTTTTCCTACACATCTGTGAAAAATTAGTCTTAGCATCCTTCAACTGATTTGCTACATTCTGGCTGTACGGATGCATTTTGATTCTAAAAGACCACTTCTTGACCTCCGCCATTGCTTTTCTACGAGTAGGTTACAACGGTATTTTATGCAATTCAGATATGGTATTATTAGCTGCCTGCTTTAGCTTTGTCACAAGAGAATCCCATGCCTCCGAAATATTCTCGTTTCGAATATTTATTCTGAAGTTGTTTAACGCATCATGGTAATTTCCCTTAAATTTGTCGTCCTGCAACAGTTTCAAATTCCACTTGATTTTCTTATTATCTTCCAGCACTTTTTCCTTATATGAGATATTTGGGCAACTTTCAGAGATGTTTATATAGCAAGAAAGCATTTTATGATCAGTATCAACTGATAAGACCCAGTTGGCTTGAATTTTCTTTAAAAAAATCCGCGAATTGTTTTTAGTCATAACATGGTCGATCTGGGAACCCTTACTTCCTCTGACCCACGTTACTAATAACGATTTGTTTGACATTGTGCTCCTTAGAGCAAGATTGTGTCTTCGCAGAAAGAATTTCAATTGTTCACCGTTACTATTTGACTGAGCATGGCCAATGAATTTCCCAAATAGGTTGGTATCTTCATCATCTATGTCATCCCTACCGATTTGAGCATTTGTATCTCCTATGCAGACGAGGTTCTTCTGATTCTTGACAGCTAGTATGCAGCGGCCGAAACTGTTTAAGAATCTGCTATATCCATGATTAGGAGCGTGGAAGTTCATGATATGCATCGTTATCCTTTTACCGGGAATCGAGAGCGCAATCTCGGCTAACTGTATATTATCAAAATTATCCAATTTAATAATTGCAATATCCAGACCCTTCCGAATCAGCAACGCCAATCCTCGAATACGGTTCCCACCATTTCTCGATATATGCCACGTGTAATCCTCACTACACAATTGTGTTGCTTCAATACTAATCTCTTGAAGACATGCAAGGTGAATATTTCGCTTTACTAGCTGATTATTTATCAACTTCCGTTTTTCTGACTGGCAGCAACCTCGTACGTTCCAACTGCACATAGCTGGTAAATATTGAGAAACATCATCAAGTGATGCAGAGACTTCACGTATAGGTTCTGCTACATACACTTCTGTAACACTGTGAAATAATCTAACTCCGTTAATTGCGGTGTAGCATATTTTCACATGTCTTAATGTATCAATTCCTATGACATCTGGTTCGAAGCAATTCCACATATTCCCCTCAACATCAAATACCTTCACTTTCACTCTGCATGTATTCGCTAAAGCTATTAAATCTTCGAAATCTGATAGATCAAGGTGAATCTGTCTTCCACTGTCGTAACCCGATATTGTTCTTGTTATTTCTTTAAAACTGATTGTCATGTCTTAAAAACGATTGCGTTAAAAACATATTTTTAACGCATTTCATTAATAGCATTCTTATTATAAACCTGCGCCAAAGTTATGGAAAAACATGGAAAACTCAGGGAACTTTATTTAGCCAAATGAGTGGACACCCTGTAGATAGAGAAGAACGATTAAACGTAAAAAAAAACTCTATACAAGGTCGTCAACTTCGAATTGTTCAACAAATAGAACAAAATGTAGGCCTATTAAGAAGAATGATAAATCTTGAAATAAATTCACGTTTGAAAAAAATTTAAAATAGTGACTTATTACAAGAAAAACTGACTTTAGTGACATGGTCTAAAAAAAAGAGACTTTTTAGTGACTGGCTTGAAAAAAAAGTGACCATTCACTAAAAAGTGACTCACTACCAGCCCTGTATGTTGGCAAGTTGATTAATGTTGGTTTCCTTCCTCCCCCTCTCCGTTTCTCAATTCAAAATCATAGGGGTTCCTTTGACAGTTACTCGATGCTACTCTCATTTTCGTTGAATACTATTAATCGAAATTAGGTGCAGACAAACGTCGATTTCAAATCGATTTGGGTTTGAACCAAAATGTATAATTTGAAGCACATACGTCAACTGCAATAAGGAGCTAGCAAGAAACCACAACGGCATAACACTCACCCAACGTCGTCATTTTCCGACTTCTATGCTTATCCGCCTTGGTCATCGGCAATCGCATCAAATATTTCTCTTCGTACTCCTCCCGTTCCCGTTCCTTTCGGGACATCTTCTGCATCGCTCTCGAGCTGGAGGAAATCTCCACCGGCGTATCCAGATACTCTTCCTTCAGTTCCTGAATCATCGACGACCCCAGAGCGCGCTTCCGTGCCCATTCCATTTGCTTTCGCGCCCGATCCGACTTTGATTCGTCACTGTACTGCACGGCCATGTGCTTCGGAGGCACGTACACATCGCTGCTACTGCTGGGTTCGGCCTTGGCGGCCGCCGATTTGGCTGCCTTGGCCTTCCGAAGTTTCAGCATTACCTTGGCTGAATCGTCCGATTCGTCACCGGAATCAGCGTCGTCCGCTCCGGCTGATTCCGGAAGTTGTGACATTAGATTAGCCGGGTTCGCTTTGAAGGATGTCGGATCGTCTGCGACGCTCGCCCCGGTGACTGCCGTTTTAACCAGTTTATCTATCTGGTAGCGCAGTTTGTAATCGATCGGACGGATCTTCTCCAGTACGGTGCGGATTTCGATGAGCCGATCGATCGAAGGATCTTTCTCGATTTTGTGACCTAAAATGAAGATTTTTGATTGTGAATTCAAAAACGTACTTTGAATGAAAGCTAGTTTCTACGTACCCGAACATTTCCTCAGCACCACGTAGGTCAGATTGATCAGATAGTTGAGCAGCATGTGATATTTGATCTCCAGGAAGTTGAGGCCATACTCTGTGGACAGTTCGCCCGTTTTGACTCGCTGCAGCATATTGCCAACGAGGTCGGAAACCTGTTTGAAGTTATTATTCATCTCGTCCAGCAGTCGGAGGGCCTGGGGAAGATCCGGCTGAATATCGTATTCGTCGAGTGCCTATCATGAAAAATCAAAATAAAAACATTTCATGTTATAGTTAGTTCGATCCACAGACAGCGTGAGTTGAATGAAGCACAAAAAAAAACTTATTTTCTATTCTATCGTTCAGCCTCAGTGTGCGTTCAGGTCGGTTTCAGTCCAGCTTTCGACTTGCATATGGGTGACTGAGCCGAGGCAGGTTTGAACGCGGTCCGTTTGTATTTATAAAGTGCATTTCATAAATGATGAAATCCGGAACACGTTCCGCCGTAGCTATGGATGCGAAACAATGCCCAGGATTTCCCGAGCTCGACTCAAAATAGTCAGGCGAATACAAAACAACCACTGATAGGAGCGAGAGTGGCCGGGGGAAAAAATGCGATTCCGTCCGTCATATGATGAAACGAACGAACGAACGGTCAGTGCCAGCAAGAGCACCACATAAAAAGCCTTGATATTAATATCAATATCAATCAAACAGTTTTTTTTCCCGAAGTAGAGGAAGCTGACGTTGAACGTGCATGTGTATTGGATGAGGGCACGGAAATCCGGACAGTGGTTTGAGATGAAGGGAGTGGAATAAACGGGAAAGGTTCTGTTGCGAGAAATGACCAATATGCAGCATACGTGATAGAAAAATACGTGGAACCGAGGGATGAAAAAAAAATAATAATAAAATGCATCGATGGCAAAGCCGATGAAGCTGCCGTGGTCGTTGCGAGGTAAGCTGTGGGCTGCATCATCAGTAGTTCGTAAAGCGTTAGAATGAAAAATTTACTATTCACGTTATTATCAAAGAAATTAAATTTATTTGAAGAAAATAAGCCTGGAATAAAAAACAAATTAACTCGGGATGAATTGATAAATAATAATAAATTTATAAAAGATCACTCGCGCTGGTATTTCTATCAGATATTTTGCTTGGTTATTCGGACTTCCAGTAAACAAAACTAATTTATTGCATACCGTCCTACGTTGAGGCAGGTTTTGTAAACAACTGTAGAAGATTTCAACCGCTTCGAAACGTAGAACGTGTCCATTCAAATCCAATTTTTAAACTCCCGGTTTTTTTCCGGTTTTTTAATAATAACCCAACTCAAACATCACTCCTGCCTTAAACAAAAAAAGCGTCCAAAAATAAACGATTAGAGATAACCTATTTTTTTCAGCAGAATTGCTCTACAATACGTCTGCTTTGAAGAAAAAATATGGGATAAGATTTGCATTAATATGTTGATGATCTAGATCTCCAAATTCTCATGGAATCATGAATTCGTATAAAATCAAAGAGTTTCACTGCTAAAATGATCCCAAATCTTGTTTTGGTATGTCGGAACAAGCAAGATCTGAGCAGAAGAAACGAAGTATAAAAAGTACTTCAAATCTTCCTCGAGTTACGATCTTAAAGTTCATTTTATAACATACTAGCTGAGTGTGCCCGGTCTTGCTCGGGATTCAATATTAGCTTGAGTTTATGCGCCGATTTAAAAAAAAGCATGCTATATTGTACGTAGCCCCCCCCCCCCCTATTATCTAAGGGGCTACTCCCTATGATTATCTCCTTATACCCCCACACTCGCCCCCACATGCCTAATTTGGTTCCATTTGCTTGATTAGTTCTCGAGTTATGCAGAAATTTCTGTTTCATTTGTATGGGAGCCCCCCCTTACAGAAGGGGGAGGGGTCTCGAACCATCATAAGAACCTTCCACGGCCCCAAAAACCCCTGTATACAAATGTTCACGCCAATCGGTTCAGTAGTTTCCGAGTCTATAAGGGTCAGACAGACAGACAGAAATTCATTTTCATATATATAGATAGATAGATATATAGATAGATAGATATATAGATAGATATATAGATAGATAGATAGATAGATAAAGAGATAGATAGATTGTGCAATACAAAGATGTGTTGCCAAAATATTTATAATTCTCCAAATTATTCTGGCGATATTTTACAGGTTAATCGAAATCTTAATCGATGTACACTCAGAATTTTTGAAAAAATCGTGTTTGAACATTACATTATTGAATTATACAAATCATTCCGGACTGGGCGTTGACTCAACGAAGAAAACTAAATTCTTTGATATTCCCTGATTTTCTAGTCTTTTTTCAGGAAAAAAACCGGATATACCAAATCAGTTATATTTTTGTAAATTTATATATTTAAGACATGTCCTTAGCCAGGTAAAAAATTAAAGCAGTAGCCATGGCGTTACTTTGATTGATAATGATGTGTGAATGAAACTGCAATCATTTTTATACCAATCATACACGAAATTAAAGATAAAGGTATCATAAAACGATTGGCTTACTCCCAATAACATGCATTTTCATTTTTTGATCGCCAGAATGTGTTCATGTTCCCCTTATTTCCACAATTTCCTCACCCTTATTAGTTATTTTTTTACCGTTTCTGGACTTTCCGTTAGGAACATTTCTCCGCATATGAAACACTTGTCTTTAATCCCCCGTTATAAAATATATTCCCCATGTACAATTCAATGCCCATCTCAGCTCCATTGAACATTTGTTATGGATAACACGTTAAATCAAACGCTTGATCGCAGCGGGATACCTCCGGTGGGAAATCGTTCACAAGCACGTATTGCACATCCCAGTCCAAGTAACATTGCAAATGTTTTTGAGGTTTTAAAGCACTCTACAAGTCTAAGTCATGGTTTACAGTATCCTCATAAAACCAAAATTATTACATTGAAGGCAACCAATAAGCCCGCTAATTTGGGTTGATTTTGCTATAAAGCTAACATACGACTAATAAAGGGCTTCGGCAAATTATTAGTTAGGATTATTATTAACCAGGCTTGTTAATTACTACCCCCACTTTCTTTCCATCAACATAATCGAAAATTTGATATTCAGAGTTGTGCTTTCACAAAATTAAAAATGTTGGTCCATGTGACCCTGAGTTCAATATTTAATCATAATCTGCTACTTCAAGTAATCAAAAAATCCGTCCATCCAAGCAGGATTATAATTCTAAAATTGCATTGGATAGCTTAATGTCTATATTCATCCGGCTCTTAAGCACACAATGAGGAACTAGAACTACAAGTATTCAGAAATATTTCTCTTAACTTTTTTTTCCATTCTTGCATTTACAAAAAGACGATCCAACCCCTTTTCTGAGGTTTATTATTTGTTGGATCGAACTAAACAGCACCAGAAACGCGCTAATCTATTTGGAGCATGAATTTTGTTCAAAGAGGATTATGAAATATTTCCCTGATTTTTAAAGATATTCCCTGTGATTTCGTGATTTTCCAGGACTGAAATGGAATTCCCAGAAAATACAGGTTTTTTCAGGTAGTCGACACCTTGCCGGATATCTGATCTTGAAGTGCTGCAGACTTAACAAGGTATACGATTATTCGGCTAAATGATAGAAGGGTTAAACCTTCTAGAAACCCCTTAATATCATTGACTTTTTTTAATTAGGTTTTCCAAAATGCCTGGAATTCAGATCTTTATTTTTTTATTATAGTCTTACCAAACGTAATTCTAAAAAATACTCTGTATGCTGTCGTGGTAGGAATAACGGCAAAATCACCAATTGCCCCGTGCACGAATATATTGCGAGTGAGAGCAAAATGTGCAATACATTTGTGGATTTTTTTTATACTTTACCACAGTGAAAGACATAATATGAAAGTTGTGGACAGATGTTAAATGATTTGCAGGGGTATATTTATAACATTTGAACTACCCCCTTAATTTTTTTCACAGTTTGCGATATGGAAAATATTTCTTTGCTTGCCATTTTGAAAAGTTAGTATCAGACTTTTTATCACCTTAATAAGCTTCAATCAAAAGCAGTAAAACTACAGAAAGTGTTTTCTTAAGTTGGATGTGTATTCAACTAAAAATCAAGTTGAACACAAAAAACTTGTTGATGTCTAAACATGCGTTTTATTTTTCATAGTTCAATGTAACATCTATACATTAGTAGATATTATGCTTATTGTAAGACCATTGTTTAAGTCTTACTTCTTACCATAGGCCATTGCTCGAACTTTTCCTAGTACATGGCCCATCATCTTCTACACGAGCCCTGTTCCCACTTGCTTGGCGCCACATTCAATTTTTTGTTGCAATACAGAGGCGTCGCGTGCCTCATTTGTTTACCTGTGCACCAAACTTTGTTCGTTATAGTTTACCACCACATATAAGTTTGCGTTTTTTTTTTTTTCAAAGCTCCATGAATTCGAAGGACATATTGGGGAAATGGGGGTAAAATGCCCAGTCGGGGCAAAACGCCCCATGGCTATATCTGACGAAAGAAACATTTTCAAATTGCGTTTGATATGCCAATCTCTTCTTTTTAACAATAAAATGACGGTTTTGATAACATAAACATTTTATATAACATGAAGCCTTTCAAAAATGAAAAACATTTTTTTTGGCCTTTTTCATACAATTTTCACGATGCCTTGCGTAAGGTTTTACGCTAAAAACAATCAAAGGACATACCTGTGCATTGTCCTCCTCACGAACAGTGGCCCTGGTATTCAATTGCCAGCAACAAATCTTTCTCGTTTATCAGTTTTTGTTTTAATTGATCGAATTTACTTCAACAACTCTAGGCGGGTCAAAATGCGCCATGCAAAAATAAAATAAATCTAATAATGGTTGCAGTGCAACCAAAAATTTACATATTGTTTAATTTACACTTGCATCATTACATTGTTCAATATCTTTAAGGCTTTACATAGCAGATGATGTTAGAATTATTTCAATACGTTTAAAATATTCCACAAATTTAACAGAATTTGTTTTAAAAGTAAAAAGTGTCCCAAGATGACACTTTAATCTGAATTTAGATTGCATCCGATAAAAAACATTCTTCATAAATCATCATTCTAGCAGCACTGCGCGTAGCAATACATAGTGCGCGTAGCAATGCAACTCAAGGCAAACGTCAAATTGTAAAAGAACGGTGTTTATTTTAATCGGTCAAAATGCCGCGGAAATACATACGAAAAACGAACTGGCG